AATCTATTTGCATCTGTTTTATGGATTCCATTTGTTTCCTATGTTGGGATTCCATCATGTTCCTCAGCTCCTCTCCAGATTTATTAATCATATCTTGCACTAGCAGCACAATCTCTGCTGTTATCTGAGAAATTATTTCTGATTTCATTTTTTTAGATCCTCTTTTGTTGCCACTTCAGGGGATCCAGGTTTTTGAGTATCACAGTGTTCCTTTCCCTTTGGGGTTGCTGTAGGTGATCTGGAAGTCTGGTTTTGAGACTTATTTACGTGGCTTCTCATTTCGACCCGGGGCGGGGTGCTATTGTTGGCACCTGTGCAACTCACCTCCTCTGGGTTGCGAGCAGTGGTACAGGTGGGGACCTGGAAGCCCCTACAACTGGGCTGGGCTGTAAGCTGAGTTTTGCCCAAAGTTTGTCTGAAGCATATTTCCCACAATAGGGAGAACACAGTTCTATGTACGGCCCAGTACATATGGGAAATGGGGGATTAGGCCATATGAAACAGATCTCTTTACTGGAGTAAGTGAGTGCTTTTTAGAACTTTTTTATTTGTCAATGTACCTTGTGAATTTCTAAGAAAGTGGTAGTGTGCATATTTTTCCTAGTCTATTGAACATTTTTTTTTTCTAGAGTGACTGTAGGAACCATGCTACACTTTTGGTACACCTACTTTGGCTCTTTGCTTGCTTATCTAAGTACAAGTAAGTTCTGATTTTGAGGAGGCAGATTAGTAAAAATTTTTCTCTTGAGTTTTAGAAATCTGTTGTGAACTCCTCCCTAACAGACGTGATTCTCAGCAGAAGGTGAAACACCAAAGGCTACTACACCATGACACCCACTAATTTATCAGTCAATTCAATTACTCATTTATTCACCCACTGATTTCACATTGATATATGTAGTGCAGTGAAGTAGCTATAAACATAAAGATGATTAAGAAACAGGTTTCTTTTTATTGGCATCCAAATAATACATATAAATAACCATTTCCCAAAGTAATTCTAATAAAGGAAAACCAGTCATGATGTACTGAATTTTATTTCCCTCAAAATTCCTATGTTGAAGTCTTGACCTTGATCTTGAATTTCTAGCCTCTAGGACTCTTAAAAACTTAATTTGTTAAATAATTCCCCCACCCTGTGATATTTTATTATGGCAGACAAAGCAATTAAAGCATCACTGTGAATTGTTCATTAGACCCTTGCCTTCAAGAGCTTTACTCAGCTACTTCTAATGTTCAGGGTTTGCAGGGTTTTGAACTGAGGGTCTGCAGTTCCTTTATTTGTGTTTTAGAAAAATTTCATGAGAACCAACTTGATTGTAAACTTCTGGAGGACCAGATCTTTGTCTGTTGTATGTCTGCATTTCCAGCATGACTAACAGAAAGACAGGCATCTGGAAGAACAAATATATCCTCTACATTTCTACTGCCTTCTGTGCATTGATAATTGAGAGATGGCCTAACACATACCTTGGAGAGAGCTAGAAATAAGAAAAAAGAACTGTAAAATCTTTTAGCTAAAAGCTTCAAATATGTGTTTTGACTTAATATTTCTCCTTTATTCTGAGATAAATAGGTTTGTCCCCATTTTATAGATGATGAAACAGAGAAGCAGAAGGGTTAAATGATTAGGTCAAGATCAGAAAATCTTTACTACAGTCAGAATTCCAACTCAGTTCTTTTGTTCTTTTTGACTATATATATTCATATATGTATATATATATATAATACAAATATTCATATATATGTTGTACAATTTTTTTTAAAGTGAGGAAAACATACTGATCAGAATTTTCACCAATTGCTTACTATGGAAAGAACTCTGGCTAGACAGCAGCATGTTTGAAAAATAATTGAAAATTTCAGTGGACTATATATCTCATTGACACTCTCATAAGTGACACAGGTACCAAAAGTTAGATCAATACTAAATTGTATAAATAAAGATAATGGTTATACAGCTATTGAGCAGTTATTAAGCATCTTAGTTATACATATTCTTGGTAAGGCTGGAGAAAAAAGTTGAATGTGTCCAAAGAAAGAGAAGACAAATGACCAGTCTTTGAAATGACACCACACCGTTCCTGTGTGGGTAAACTGGGAAGGTTTATTCTGGAAAACATCAAAGATGACCCCATCACTGTTTCAAATTGTTGAAATATTTTCAGTTAAAAGAAGAAATTGGACATAGGAAAAGTCTTCAGAGGTAGTGAGCCTTCCATTACTGAAAGTATTCAAATAGATATGTCCACATAAAAGCAACTCCTATATTGAATGGAAAACCAACTAAATTCTTAAGTGCCTTGAACACAAGAGATCTTAGAATTCATAAATTATCATCGTCATCTTCCCCATTAGAAAAGTGAGGCTTGGAGGAACAAAATAATATTCCGTCTTTCCTGTAACTGCAGAAAGAATTCCCCAGGATAGAATTTTATAATCGCCATGGCTAAGAGATCCCCACTAGGAAATTGTTCAATTTGAACCCGTCTCTATATCGATTCTTTTATAATTATTTTAACAAAATCCAGTCTTCAGTTTTCCGAGCTGATAATATTACCTATTCTGAAAGGATTGTCTATTAATTTCCGCCTTTATCAGCAAGAGAAGCTCATCTTTAATGCCTATGATTGGGGCAGGCATTGAGCAGAAGCTTGTTAAATACAATAGGATATGGCAGTGAGTTTTCTTATCTGGGATCAGTGTTTTAAAGAAGTACCTATAGGAGCTAAGAAGAGAACAGACGACAAGGGTGAGTATCATCAGCGGAATTAAGAGTGGATAATCCGTTTCTGAACAACAGAGAAGTGCAGTTATGTGGTGTGCTGAGACTACCCAGAGCCCCAAGTGACACATTAGTTTCTGTGTTGTGGGAGGCGTCTAGAGGGGCAATTAGGATGTACTGCAGAATAGTCCTGGAGAGAATGGTCAAGACAGACACCACACTGAAGAATCCGATGCGCCCTCCCATCCGCGCTGCTGGAGGGGTGTGGTGGGCGCGCTTGTGTGTGCGCACACGCGTGTGTGTGTGTCAACATTAATCTAGAAAATCACATTATCGTGGCGGTGAACACTATTAAATGAGAGAGACATGGTGGCAGAAAGGGAAAAACATGTATCCGGAGGGTGTTCCACCCTGCCGTTCAGAACACTGTGAGTATTCAAATAATATTAATGCTGTGGCGAAGACGGGAGCGAGGATGATGATGATTAATGCAACTCGTGGAAAAACAGGGCTGGGAGGATGACAGAGCTGAGGGGCCCGGAGGGAGGATGACTCACAGGTGAGGGGTACCTGGGGAAAGGCGCAGGGGGTGCGGGCTGGCGGGCGCGGGGAACGGAGGGGTGCGCGGCCGGGTCGGGCAGGGGGCGGTGGGCGCCGTGGGCGGAGCGGAGCGGCGCGGGCTGCGAGCGAGCGAGCCAGCGCGAACCTCCCCCGGAGACTCCGCCTCGCCGGCAGCCAGACTCCCGCGCCGGAGGCAGCCGAGCAGGAGCCGCCGGGCTCCGGCCCGCCCCGCGGAGACGCCCGGCCCGCGGAGCCCGCCCCACCCCGGCCCACCGCGCCCCCGTCCCCGCCCCCGCGGACAGAGGCTGCGCCGCGCGCCGCGGCCAGGCCGAGCCTCGTCGGGGCCCCAGACAAAGGCGGCCGGGCCGGGGCTGCGCACCACCATGAGCGGGGCCGCCGTGCCCGGCTCCGCTCCTCCTCCTGCTGCCGCCGCCTCTCGGGTTCCGCTGTGAGGGCAGCAGGGCGCAGCTGCGCGACGCGGGCGAGGCGAGGCCGGGCCGCGAACATGTCCTCGGCCGTGGGGCCCCGCGGGCCTCGCCCGCCCACGGTGCCGCCCCCGATGCACGAGCTGCCCGACCTGAGCCACCTGACCGAGGAGGAGAGGAACATCATCATGGCAGTGATGGACCGGCAGAAGGAAGAGGAGGAGAAGGAAGAAGCCATGCTCAAGTAAGCCGCCCCGCCGCGCACCCACCGGGCGCCCGCCCCGCGCCCTGCCGCACGCTGCCCGCCCGCGGGGTCCTCCTGCCTGCCGGGGTCCGGCCAGGCTGGCCAGGGCTGGGGGCCGGAGGGAGGAGAGAGAGCACGGAGCCTGGGACCCGGGAGCCTGGGAGGGTGGCTGGGGACCGGGTGCCGGGAGGGCTGGGCGCGCGGGGCCCGGGGCGGTGGGCCACGCCGGAGCAGGAGCTGAGCCCGGCCAGGAGCGGGGAGCAGGTGAGGGCCGGCCGGCGGAGGAAGCGGGGTGGGAGCGGAGGCAGCTGCTGAGAACGGCGCCTCTTCTTTCGGAGTTGTTCGGCAGGTCGGAGTTACCCCAGTGAAGGATGCCTCTATTTATATAATAAAAACGCTCATTTTTAGCGTTTCTTTTGGCACTCATTCATCTCTCAGATCAAGGTTGGGTCTTTTTTGGGCAGTTGCCATCTTTGGTAATCCGCCTCCCGGAATCTCTTTCACCTCTTCACAGTCTTCTGCACGGAATACCTGTGAGGAAACAGATTTTCTTACCCATATATAGTGCCGTGGGCAATACAAAGTTTTTGACTAATGGGAGATGCCGACGGAGACCCTGGCCTGAATAAGACAGAGGTTCCTCTTTACTGTTGCCGAGAGACCTCTGGGGCCTGCTCATTCCAGGAGAGGAAGCGGCCCAAGAAAGCATTAAACGTGTGTACACATTGTCCCCTCTTCGGAGCGTCCAGCCCTTCGGGGCTCGCTGCCTGGTGCCCCATTTTTCCAAGGAGGTTGCCAGTGGTGCAGGCGCGTGTGCCGCTGCCGCTGCCGCTGCCTGCCTCAGAGAAGCTGCTCATGAGGTCCTGGTGTGGAGCTTGGGCTTTCCTCGCTCCTTAGGTCTCCGGGGACTGGAGCTGAAGGCGACCCTTGGGAAGTCTTCATGTGTTCAGGAAAGTTTTCCGCTCTGGGGCGGGGGAATCCAGGGCTCTTGACTGGGACTGGCTCCTCCGTGTCCCCTGCTTAGCCAGCAGGTGTGTCTGGGGGCAGGCTGTTGGCACGAAGAGCCAAAGGGAACCTGTTGCATCTGGAGTTGGCCTATTGCACAGAAGGACGGGAGGGGCCGGGGTGACGCCTCTCTCCCACCCGCTAGGACTGCCTCTTGAGGAGAAGATGCTGCTAGGGAAGAAAGGGTTCTTCCGCATGCCCTCAGTACAGCAGAGCCTCAGGAGAGAGGGGCAAAGGGCCAGACAGATGCTCCCACGCAGTGAGACTGCCTCCCAGAGTGGGGAGGGGGTGCTAAGGGAGCGCTGTGGGCCGAAGGCCTGAGCAGAAGGGTAGAAATCCAGTCAGTCATTCCTGCCCTTTCGTTTTAGACTCAGAAAAAACCCCTGCTAACTGGAAGGCCAGAGTTGGCCTGATCCTAGGAGGAGCAGCAGGTTTCTGAATTCCCTGCTCCTACTCATCCAAAAAACAAATACATTAAGCCTGCTGGCTCGAAGGAGGCAGAATCCCCGTTAATCTGCTGCCTGTCCCTAGTGGAAGAATGACGCCCCTGGCTGCCGGCTTCCCCTCTTCTGAGACTGGAAGTATTGGATGTTGTCTGATGCTGCTGCCGTCTGTCTGTCTGCTTGTGAGTCCGTCTGTCCTCACTGGCCGCAGCCCCTGCCGCCTGTCCTGGACATCGATTCTCTTGGTCAGGATCTCCAGGTTTGCTGCTGCTCCCTTTGGTGTTCACTGCAGCCAGCAGGTGGAGAGAGGCCTCTGGCAGCTGGTGAAAGCTGTGCTTGACAATTTCCTGAGGGCACAGGGAGGGCTCGGTGCAGATAGTGGCCATCATACTCCCCCGCCCTCCCGTATTGGCCGTTCCACAGCAGAGGGAGAGTGGTGGATTGTATGAGGGAGCGGATGGGTTTTAGGACAGAATTCCAAACCTGCTAAGTGCCAGAGGACAGCAGTTACAAGATTATATGGGCTCATATGGACAGATACAAACTAGGAGTGTTGTCCATCTGCTCATGTGTGACACCTTTCTTTTCCCCCGCTTTTCCTGTGACTACTTTCCACTTGCTTGCAAATATTATTCCTTTATTGCACTGATTTTCACATTATCACACTGTGTGATGCTGTTATACAACAGCTCTCTAATCCTGGGGCTCTGGACTAATTTATCAATCAGCCTCCTCTGCTCGTGTCTTGGCCTCTTATGTGGTGGTGGATTGGTGTTTCTGAATCCCAGCTTGCTGCCCTGTAAGCATGTCGGTCTTGTTGTCTGCAGTTAGTGGAGCAGTGCTGGACTCTCCTTCTGAAAAACACTTTATGTCTTAGAGCTGGGGGTCAGCCGTGGGGCTGTTCAGGTGAGACACATATATACAGAATTAATGAGATGTAGTCATAGATGGGCCCTTTTATGGACTTTGTATTACAATAGATTGAGAAATTAAAATAGATTGACAGAGCTTGGAAATATTTGCTAAATCAGGAAAAACTTTTTGGGGTAATGCATGGTCCATCATTTCACATTTCTGAGACATTACTTTCATAAAATAAAATAAAATAACCCAACCACACAAAGCTAACGTTCTGAGAACAGAGCAATGAGAGTTGAGAAAACTTCCTTCTGTAGTTAGTGTAGCACTATCTGAGTTACCTACTGTGAACGCTCTGTCTTTCCACAAGGCATAAAATTAGGCATTAATAAAAAGAGTGAGAAAATTGATGGGTGAATATGCTAAAGCAACATTACAAAATATCAAATATATATTTGTCTATATTTGTTTTATTGACCTTCATTATAAAATTTCTACTTGAATTTGATTTTGATGTCATTAAATATGTGTAAATAGAAAACATCAAACTACTTTTACCTCAGGATTTTAGAAAAATTCTGTATGAATTTTTGTAATAAAATACTTTGTAATAAAATAATTCTTTGTGCAAAGTGTACTCATTTTAAATCCTAATACCATATAACTAGAAGTAGTTGACTGCTACAAATTTTATTAGTGATTGATTTAATTATCTCTAAATTAAGAGATTTTCTCTTAATCTTATGTGTGTGTGTGTGTTCCAGAGGCTTTTTTTTGGGGGGGGACCGGGGATTGAACTCGGGTCCTTGCGCTTGCACAGCAGGCAGCGAAACCACTGAGCTAAATCCCCAACCCTTCCAGAGGCTTTTTGAAACCTCACTTCATCAATTAATACTCCATCAAGTAATTGTCACTAGATATTATGAGCTAGTGTATTACAGGGACTGAAAACTGTGTTATCCTAAATCACAAGTCCTCATTAGATGTAAAATCTTCATTCCTTTTTTTTTCTTGGTAAAAGTCTAATAGAGAAAGGAGAGGCAGAATGGCAAGGGAAGAAAAATAAAATAAAAGTAGAGAATTAAGGGGATGGTTTGAGGATGGAAATTGAGAGCCATATTGCGACAGTTAATAAAAATAGCTAACATTTATTGAGTATCTCATGCCAGCCATTACTCCAAATATTTGATATCAAATAAGGGAACTATGCTCACTTAATATGTGTATAAATATTTGGATTCTCACAGTAGCCTGTGCAGAAGGTAAGTCAGATGTTTAAATTCTCAAACTCTCACCCTAGACTCAGAATTCCAGTAATATTTAAGGCCGACTCACATAACAACATGGCTGAACCAAAATTCAGATCTAGATCCTTTAAGTCCACCTGTTTTCCCAGATTCTACACTTTATTTCTACCAAGAAGGGACCATTCTTTCATATTATCTTTTCCTTAAATGAATTTCTCCTCTTTCTTCAATTTTAGAGAGGCAGTTGGACAAAAGATGATGCTGATTCAAAAGATTAGCTGCTGATCCTGAGGGGCCTGGAGCTTCATTTACACTCATTAATGGAATGTTCTTGTGGATGAAGGGAAGGGATTGTCTCCAGTGGAAGAATGGAAAATAGCTTGTAGTGTACAGGAAAGACCATACTCTTTGGAGCCATGCATTTAGGGGTTCTCATCCTAGCTCTTCCACTTACAGTGTAAACGTGGAAAGAATTAAATTGGAATTGATGAGGTTGCTTTGTTTGGTAAACATTCTGAAGCCCATGGTATAAATTGATTTGTGAAGAATATTAACTTTGGGCTTCTCCCTGTCTTCTTGTCAGCCTAGCATTCACTTTTCAATCACCTGTCAAAGATACATCCTTCATGGAAAGGAGATAAAGTAGAAGGAGAATTCCTGTAACAAGCTTTACTTCTTTTCCTTCCTTGAAGCAACTATAATATTGTAGCCTGAATATATTCATAAGGCTCATTTTGAGAGATTTCAATTAGCAACTGGGAAAAGAATGGAAAGTAGAGTGGGGAACTAGGGCAGGGAGTGTTAGAATTCCCATGCATGTAGGCATCAGAATTTCATTGGCAGAGATTTTTATATCTTGTATCCAGACGTATACTGCCATATTGGTCAGGTGGGAATGAGGAGGAGAAGAAAAAGGCAAGTAGTGAAGAGAGAAAGAGGCGGAAACATAAGCAGGGTCCTACCTGTTCCACGATCCCATATTCAGAAAAAACTGGTGAGAAAATAGTTTCACTCAGAGTCTAGACTTCACACCATTAGTGGGTGGCATTAACCTCAGAGAAAGTTAGCTCTGAACTCTATTGTAGTTTTCTACTTTCAGCAAAAGCTGTCTTAACTGATGTGCATACCCAGTACTGAGTTCCCAAATGTTCATGGAGAAATGTTAAAAAGAGAAACAAAAAATGAAAGATATGAGAAGTATGAAAAAGAATGAAGATTGAGATAAAACCAGTAAACATTTTTGTCAATATCCATTGACAGTTTTAATATATATGCATTACTTCTAAGCAGAAGTGATAGAAGCAGTATCACTTAAGTAATTAAATACTAAATTAGTATACTTTGAAAAGCTGTGGGAGCTATATGTGCAATTACTGATTTGAATTGTAGAGCCACGACATCTTGGGAATGTTATTTGCACAAAATTGTTAAATAGGAAGAATAATTTATGTAAACTTCCCAGAAAGATCTCAGATGTGCATTCCTAAAATCATATTATTATTCTCCCACATCTATAAAAAGCATGTGGATGAGGTTGCTATCTCATGGATTATACCATCCATTGTGTTGTATTTCATTTATTGTTAAGGACTATTTTCTATTTTTAAACATCATTTTCCATTTGGTCTTGTGGTATGAGTTGGATGTTTTAGGGCTATTCCTGAGAGTTGAAGTAATTTTGCTTAGGCACATGGCACTTAGAGTGATAGAGCTTCAAACAAGCATATGTTGACTCCAAATATTTGAAATTTTTTTAAGTCTTTTAAAAAAGTGCACCAAATTATGAGTTTTGTTTCCCCCATCTGTAGGGGTAATAGACTGGGATTTATTGTTTACCTTCTGGGCAACAGGCATCTGGCTGGAGCCTTTGGAAATTTTATCCTCCCCTCTTGATGAGAAGTCTGCTTTGTCAGTATTTAATATTAGGGAAATTTCCATAACTGCTATATTTTCCTAACTCTTTGCTCATGGTATTTGAACCTAGAATCCAGAGCACAAAGCTTTAAAGGAGTTGGAAGAGACCGCCATATGGCCATAACATCTTCCGTGCTTTCTAAGGACCCTGTCTGGGCTTGTGGGCCTCATCCTGTGCATGCTTGGAGCTTTCCTGACTCTCGTGCTCTCTGGCTTATAGGGCTCCCAACACCGACCATGTTCTCACTGTTCTCCACTGTGAGCTTACCTCTTCTCAATACTATTCTGAATTTTATTTATTAGTTAGGCTACTTCTAGCAAAATATCCTATGATATTTAGTTCAGTGCCGAGACCAAGTATTAGAGTTTCAAGTATTAAAATTGAGTCAGAAATTAGGATGTTTGGATAAAATTAAAGAGTAAGTGCTCTGCTTACAAACTGTTGTTGGCTTAGTTCCTATAATTTTCTTTCTTTTTGTTTTTGGTAATGGGAATCGAACTCACGACCTTGCGCTTGCGAGGCACTGAGCTAAATCCTCAACCCTACTTCCTATCATTTTCAAACTGCCATGGCAGAAAGGGAGGTGGAGACTGGATTCCCATTTTAACACTTACTTTTTATAGGTATGAGCATTATCAAGTTAACTCTTTCTAACATCAGTTTTCTTGTGTGTAAAATGGAATTTATAAAGCCTGTCCTTCTAATGGTAAACATGGTAACGTGGAGGCACCTTTAAACTTTCAATTACTATACCTCCCCCAAATGCCATGCTTACTGTTTAAAACCACAGAAGAATTCCAGCTCATGTTCTCCTGTGATGGCCAAAGCTCCTGGAGTCCTTGTGGGAGGATCCATTTTTCCTATCGGGATCAGGGCAGTATTGCCAGGGTTGTGACTAACAGCATGAGAATTTCACAAGAAGTTAAAAAGTAAAATAATTCCAGGGCCTAAACGGACACGATTATTATCTTTTTTAAAAAATGTTTTTCTTTCTATGTCATGAAAGAGCTTATAAATGCTTTTTACACTAAAAGCAATGTGGGCAAATGATAAAGTATGACATTGCTAAAAGACAACCCTGATTCAAAAATGAGACCAACAGAGGGTAATTTCTTCATCTTTTACTAGGAGAAAGAAGAGCAATGATTTTAGTGTCAGTGGCTTTAATAAATTACTCAGGTTCAGAATTATATGAGTAAAGGGCAACACACTCACAAGTAGTGGTTTCTCTTTCACATCAGCTTACTGTTGAATGATGTCATAAATTATATGTACTGAAGAAATTTTTAACTTTCTGTCCTAAATACCCTAGATTTTCTGTATATATATTCTCACACTCATATCAGGTTTAAGTACACCTATTTGGATATTGGTCATTTTACAAATATACTGCAGAATTGGCTTCAGGTACTTAACTGCTGCGATTTTGTGACCACTTCCATACATATGAATGTTTTCATTAAGAAAAAAGAGGGCGGGGGATTTAGCTCAGTGGTTTCACCACCTGCTGTGCAAGTACAAGGACCCAAGTTCGATCCCCAGTACCAAAAAAAAAAAAAGAAACTGGTTTTGTTTACAAGAAGAGTGATGTATGTGTTGATTTATCTTCATTTGCTTATACCAAATTTCGTGCTATAATTATGGATAGTGCTTCTTCCTGGAGATTTTAAATTTCAACCTGGATGTCAAATTATATTGTCTTCCTCTTTATAGAACTTGTTTCCCATGCCCCAAATTATTCATTTGAAACTTTGCAAAATCAAACAATTAATGCTTTTAAGGTACATCTTAAATAAGTAATGCAAGCAAGTTGTAGATGTAGACTCTTCAAAATCATTGGTAAATAGGAATGCTTCTGCTGAGAATGAAGTGTTATCCTTTATGGAATCTCTATGGATGCTACTTTTGATGGCAAAGCTGAATTTAAATTTTTAAACATTTTTCAAGTGATAGTACTGTCATTATGAGTTACAATTGCATGCAGGAGTCTCTATGAAGATTCTCTTTTGAGCTTTGCAAAAGTACAGCCTACACTTTGGAGAAGATGTCTTTAATGTGTGTGAATTCATTTAAATAGATTTTAGAATGTAATATTTTGATAATTCCTCAGAAGTTCAGATGGTAAGATTAGATAATGTTATAGAAAACAATTTCATGCAATTTGTAAGTAATTAATGCACTTAATTAGAATATTAACTATTTTAAAGGAGCATAATGAATGAAAAATACATCTTTAGTACTATAGAAGATAATCTCTTGCGAATGATTTACATATTATTTAGTACATTTTTTGTATTATTTATCCATCATTAAACTAAGTAAGAATTATCTAGGTTCTATCTAGGTCAGAAAGATTATTACTATATTGATAGAAAGAAATGAAAACAAAAGTAAA